ATTCCTATCCGTTTGCATAAGTTACACAACTCCCTCACAAAGGCATCTCGTGCGCAATATGATCGGAAAGAAGGGTTTACGTAAACAGCGGACTTAGATGAAGAATAAGCGAATTTTGCTGACATTTCCATTGACATATTGTCGATTTTATTCCATTCTCTTTCATCTACAAATATTAATTCTGTACAATCCTCTGGTTTTTTAAGAATATCCACAACTCTTGGATGATCAGTCCAATTGTCGGTGTCTACCTTATCAACCATAGGATTATCAGACACATTTTGTATATTTTCGTTCAGTCGTTTTTTCTGAGCCCTAGTTAATACTGACATAACATGTTCATTCATCCCTTTTAAGTCCTCACTCGATATTCGAATACGCGACAATGCATCTGCAGCTGCATTGTCTCTTCCTCGAACATATTCAACCTCATAATCGTACTCTTCCAATAATAATCGAAATTTCGTGAGACGACTTGATGGGTTTGTCATGTTGAATAAATAAATTAGTGGTTTGTGGTCAGTTTTGATTATAAACTTTCGTCCATAAAGATAAGGTTTAAAATATTTTACAGACCATACAATAGCTAGTAGCTCTTTCTCAATAGTAGGGTATCGAATTTCAGCTTTATTTAAACTCCTACTCGCAAACGCTACCGGTCTATTATCGCTATTACATAATACCGATCCAATTGCATAACCAGAGGCATCAGTTTGCAAAATAAACCTATTACTTTCTTCTAAATTTGGATATTGTAATATTGGTGGAGATATTAATGCATTCTTTAACTTAGAAAAGGATTCTTGACACTCATGGGACCAAACAAAATGAACATTTTTGCGGCAAAGCTTGTTTAAAGGTAATGATATTTCTGCGAAGTTAGGTATAAATTTTCTGTAAAAGTTAGTAAAAGCTACAAATCTTTTTGTTTCATCAACATTTCTTGGTATGGGGTAATTTTTAACGACATTAATTTTTTCAGGGTCTGGTTTTATACCTTCCGTAGAAATAATATGACCTAGAAATTGCATTTCCTTCCGTAAGAAATCGCATTTCTCCGGATTCAATTTTAAATTAACTTCACGTAACCTAGTTAAAATATCTATCAGATTTTTATTGTGACTCTCAAGGTTGCGACCAAAACAAATTAAATTATCTAGGTAAATGAATAACTTTTCGTAGGTGAGCCCTGACAACGCAACTGTCATCAGACGAGAGAAAGCACTTGGGCTAATTTTTAAACCCATCGGAAGACGCGTCATTTGATACTGCCCCGACGGAGTAGTGAATGCTGTATATTTTCTAGATTCGGGACTTAAATTTGACTGATAATAAGCTTGAGATAAGTCTAATTGAGAAAAATACATTGCACCGGATAATGAATCCAGAATATCTGTAATATTAGGTAGTGGGAATTTATCATCTAATATCCTGTCATTTAATTTACGAAAGTCAATCACTAATCTCCATTTTTTTGTTTCATCATTAGACTTTTTAGGTACTAGTAAAATGGGACTAGACCATTCACTTTTTGAAGGTTCTATAATACCATCTGACAGCATTGTTTTAATTTGCTTTTCAACTTCAACACGTTGTGAAAATGGTAGTCTATATTGTTTAACATAAACTGGATCTGCATTCGTCTTTAGCTGGATAGTTTGATCGAAAAGATTCGTAGTTGTTAATTTATCATTGGGTAAATGAAAAACATCTGAAAATTTTGCACAAATATTTTGGATCGATTTGCTTTCCTCTTCATTTAAATGACTTAAATTCAAATGTGCAAACATAGTGCGTACTCTATCTCCATCAATATTATTGTTTCTTTCAAAATTTAATATTTCATATTCTGATAATTTGTGTATTTCTGGCCTAAAATAATTTAAATTTACTGTTGTTAACCGAGTATTTAGTATTTGTATATTTATTTTCCCGTTAACCGGTTTACATATACTTCCAGCTAAGAAAACTCCTTTTCCTAATTCATCAGGTATCACTACACATTCATTTTTAAAAGAACAGTCTATTTGAAATATTTTTTCACACCTCGGTGGAATACTTAGAAAATTTGTCGTACCTAATGTACCATTAGTCATAGTAGATGTAACAGTATTGTTATTATTACTTAGTATCAAGGTATTATTTTCAAAATTTAAAATAGCTTTGTATCTTCTCATAAAATCTCGACCAATTATACCGTGTTGCATACATGGTAAGAATTTCATAACATAAAATTTGTGTATAAATTCATTTCCATTTATGTTGAGCGTAATAAAAACATACCCCACGGTTTGTACTTTGCCTCCAATACCATTTATGGAAATGCATTCGGTGTGCATTGGAATATTCCAATGCTTCACCGTTTCATGTTTTAATACCGACAAAGATGCTCCGGAATCTATAAGCAAACTATATTTGGCATCTTGTATTGAACATTCCACCGAACTATTATACTCACAAGCTAATACGAAATTGTTATCGAAAAAACTGCAAAAGTTCGTTTCCATTGTTCTTAGAGTTTGGTAATAACCGATCGTCCGATGTCGTGTTATCTACCGTATTATTCATAAAATGCATACTATTGTTAGAGCGAGTGAAATTTCGGTTATGCTTACCACCATGGAATCCACTTTGTCCACGTCTAGAATAACCTCCACCACGTTGTGGATATGTTCCTGAAATTTGACCACGAGGTTGGCGATTAGCATAAGTTGTATGTAAACTACCCCGCGCCCACTGGTGATTAGATTGTCCAAACCGTCCTGAAAAATTACCTCTGTTGTTGTTTCGAAAATATCTATTATTATTGAATTTTCCTCTATTTCCGAAATACACAGACGGTTCCGGATTCTGTTGACTACTTGATGCCTCTTCATCCTTAGCCGCCCTAATAGTATCTTTTAGACTGGTATAATTACGTGCGGATAGTATAGTGCTTAGCTGTCGATTTCGTAGGCCGTCGTTGAAACTTCTAACTGCAATCTTTTCATTTAATGGACGTAAAACTGTATACGCATTTTGGTCACCGTCGGCTTGGGAAATCGTTAAATCTACGAATAATTGTTCTATTTTACGGCCATAATTATCCAAGGACATGCCATTTTGTTTCAATTCTAGCATTTCCTTATGAATAGAAGTGCTTGATTTTTTACTTAATAATTGCAGACGCATGTCTGCCAGTAGCGCGTCACATGTTTCATAGGTACTTGATAACCTTAGTTTTGCACTTTGATTTAAGCGCGTTTTTAATATAAATTTTATAAGCATGTTGTTACCTTGGTCATTAAGTGTGGAACTATACAATTCTATAGCATCGATTAGGTCCTTAGTGATATTCTCATCACCCGTCATAACCGGCAAGAGAGACGTAGCTATCTTAAAATCGAAACTAGCCATGTCGATAGATTCACTGTCGATACCTTCAACAATACTATGAGAAGGGGAGCAGTACTCCTTAGAACATATGCCTTCTATTTCAATATAAATTTGTCTAATCAAATCACAATATGCCTGTATTTCTACCAAAACCGGACTTTTCAATTGTTTCCGCTCTATTTGCTGAGACAAAATAAGCATACAGCCATCAAATTGTCTCCGTAATTGCGTGGCCTCATTTAACTTTTGTTGCAAATATACTTTGGTCCTTCGAGAATAATTAGATTTAACTAAATTAGTTTTTATACTCTTTAACTTATCATAAACAGTTTTTAGCTCCGTGGCCATAACATATTGACACAATCCTTAAACCTTAGGCAAATTACAACATATTTGAATTACGCTAAATTTATCTCTACACCTCAAACTAGTCTATGCAATTATAAGTCCATAAAGTGCTAAAATTAAATCTACATAAAATTATGGCATTTAGTACGTTATAGTCAATAGGTTAGGAAACTTTAACTCAATACACTTTTTTTTTTTCACATTTCACGCTTCATTATAGCACAATATCTTTTCGACACTGATATTTTTAACACTGATCTTGCACTTTCATCACTGGCTCCTGTCGATATGGTTGCTGACGGTGCTCGCAGCTCTGCATCACTTGGCGCTGGTGTCCTTCGTACACAACTCGTCCCTCTGGTCGCCGAAAAGACCGCATCAATTGTTGTGTCAAAAATTCGTTTCTAATCCAAGTATGGTGACAGTTTCTATACAATCTATAGACTGCATATAAACCAGCAATTCCAATCATAGTGCACATTACAATTAGCACTATGCTAATGTTTGAAAGGTGGTATTCTTGAATCTTCGCTGAGTTAGATCCTCCGGCAGCATTTTGTGTTATAAAGACTTCTTCCTTTTCGACTTTTGCTCGGCACATTTCGAGTTTGACCACTTTGTATTTGTATATATTTATTTTAATTTATTTAGGTACGTAATTTATACGCGAACGCGCGACGGAACCCGAGTCGGCCGCCTTAATTGGCAGGGTCGCCATGTAAGGTGGTGCATCGGGGAAATTAGAGAAACAACTTTATTGTTTGAAGTTACATTTAATACTCCTCTAAATATTGGATACAATCCGATATATATGAATTACACACTTAGATCTAGCAATGGACATGTATACATACATACACACTACACTACTAAACCGATTGCTTTGAATTTATGCAGACGTAAAGTTATAAGTCCGGATTAAATAATAGGGTACTTTTTAACCCGGAAAATATTTAATATTCCTGATGAAAAACAAAAGTATTGGTATAGATGACGCTGTGTGTATTGGTATATGTCACATAGGCTACTTTTTATCCTTTTGTGACGCGAGCGAAGCCGCGGGTAAAAGCTAGCATTAAATTAAATGATTTAATAAAATTAGATAATTTAATGAAATTACATATTATGTTATCCCTCAGAAAAATATATTCATGCTTTTATTTTTTTACGATTCCATTGATTTGTTTTCAAGCGTACTGTCATTAACGTGTCTTTTTTAACTTTTAGAAATATTTAATATTTTCTTGTTTACAGATATAAGTAACTAAATCGTAAAAATGAAATTTAAAATCAACGGGACGGAGTATGTAGGTAAGTATGTTATATGTTTCTATTTAATAATATGTACATCCAAATCTCTAAGTTACAATAATGGTGAAATACTTATATTTTTTTCATTATAACGCTGATATAAAAATCCTACTTAACGATCTATCGTAAACAACAATAAAATTGTTAGATTACTTTTATTAATATTTTAATGAATATTTTATTTTAATCTTTACTAAAACTTGCATACTGTTTGAACAGTGGATGGCACCAAGGCTGGTCCTGATGTATCCTTGAACGAGTTCATACGATCAGTGGTAGGGTTGCGTGGTACAAAGGCAATGTGCCACGAAGGAGGGTGTGGCGCCTGCATCGTCGCCGTACGCGCAGCCCTACCCCCCACCAACGAGGTCAAGACTTTTGCTGTAAATTCTGTGAGTATTAATAAGAAAAATTTTATATATTTTCAATATATAATTTTTTTTAAAGGGGGAAAATCATCGAATGACTGCTCCCGCCTGGGTGAGGCGGGAGATTGTGTCAGACTCTTACTGACTAAAAACCACCCCGTTCCTTCTCCTGCACGTCGAGCCGGAGCCCCGGTTACCCGTTAGGTTCTCCGCGACTTCAATATATAATGCAATAACTATTTATCGTGTGAATTAAACAAGCTAATCAGAAACACAATCATATATTTTTCCAAAACAAAAGACGACTATAAATAGGTTTCCCTATTGAAAGTGGCCAGCTTGCCACAGATAATATAAACATATAGGTATAATAAAAACCATGAACTATGAAACAGTGATAAGCCTGATAAATTGATAAACCTGAACCTTATAGATATTTGACACACTTGCCGACCCGAAAATTATGGCAATCCCTAAGGACGGAGTAGTTCAGTATTTAACGTTCACTGGTTGTTAAACTGGACGAAATATTTAAACCAAATTAATGTCGGTCCCATTTTTTTAATAGGATGTTAGCCAGAATCCCAAACCAAACAATATAATAATTCTGGACCTGACAACATGATTGAGGGAATAAAACCTTAAAATATGATCAAAATTATTATAAATGTCTATCTGATTTTAATAATTGTATCTATAATGACGGTACTCAAAGGGTTAAGCTCATTCCTGACCTACATACATACATACATAACTTCACGCCTGTCTTCCATGGGGGTAGGCCTCTGCCTATGGAAGACAGGCGCGTTCCCTAGTCTCCACTAGGGAACGCGAATTACTAAGATTCCTACATACCTCTTTCGCTTCATCAACAGTCATCAATCTTTTCATACATGCTCGTCGGTTAAGGGTACTTCTTTAATATATCGCCAATCTGGTCACTATATGTCCGTATATCTGACTTACATTTAATAAGAAAAATACCAATAGGTAGCATTATGTTAAAAATGGAACCCGTACTCATAAGTCCCACACACACACATTCAAAACGATCTTAATACGTGAATGACTCATAAATATGACAAAACGGTCTAAGAATCTAAACGAATTCTCAATTTTATTTAAAGAGTGTCCATTCATGAGAAATATTATGATACTCTTAAAAAAAACGTTTTATTGGTAAAAAAGGTTGATCTTAGCTCGTTACTATACAATCGTAATACGTTGTCAGGACGACCGATATTAATGTATGGTAAGCATTTTATCTCTGCGAATTAGGCGGGACGTATTTTTGTTATAACAGGTATAAGTAACAAGTAATACACAGATAACAGATAACAGTATGTTGTTTCTGGGCGTAGCTGTTATTGAAAATAACAGTTACTCACTTATTCTTTTTTTAAATCACTCACTCTATTCTTGTCTCAAATCACAACCACAGCCTAAATCCTAGTCACAACTGAAAACAGCTCAAATAATAATAGAATTAATTGATTATACCAAGAAGAAAAACATTAACTGTTATTTCTATGTTGCGCCTAGAAAAAAAAATAAAAATAAAATAGCGCTTTATTCAGATCCAACTAATAACTGTTACATAATTTAAAATTGCCTAAGATTTTCATTACGTAGGTCTAGTATCTATAAAATACCTATTACTTATTTTTTGGAGATCTGTTTGCCGGTCGGCAAAGGCCTCCTCCAACCTTTTACATTCATTTAAAGAAAGAAAGAAAGAAAAAGCATTTATTTGGCAAATGGCACACAAACAAAGAATATAAAAAATAACAGATACTTACATTTCGTTCTTGAGCTACTCTGTGCCATGTAACTCCTGCCACTTGCCTGAGGTCATCATCCCATCTTTTAAGAGGTCTACCCCTCTACAGAAAAGTAAATAGCTGTTATTAATTAATAACGGTTATTTTACGAAACAGTTACATGAAGAACAGGTATCATGTTTGACTTGTTAAAACCCAAGTCTACTACGAATCCCTGTCATTGCTTTTCGCTTTGTCCAAAGTTCACCTTTGATCCGTTGGCCTTTATATTTTTATGCACAAAAAAGCTTTATATTTTTATACGTACGTAATGCTAATGATCATATTGATGACAAGCAGTTTTTCAAATATGTTTATTTGGAATTTTGTAACAGTACTCGCAAAGCTATTTATTTGATCTAAAGATGTATATTTATGTGACTATCATAATGGTGGTATGCTTAATATGTCACGCACATTACTGCGTATTTTGCCGGGGATTAATAGGGTTTTTTTATGAGCTAATATCATCGAATGACTGCTCCCGCCTAGGTGAGGCGGGAGGGAGTGTCAGACTCTTACTGACTTAAAACCACCCCGTTCCTTCTCCTACACATTGAGCCGGAGCCCCAGTGACCCGTTAGGTTCTCCGCGACGGGATTAATATGGATTGGATACGTTATAATACTAATATCGAATTATTAGATATAATCGAATCATCGACATCGATTTCAAGTTATTTTTATAGTACATAATTATACATATACCTATTTTGTTTATACCAATATTATCAAGAGGAACCATTTCTGTTTTTGTTTGTGTATAATGTGTATATATTATTATGAATTTATGTAATATTTTTATACAAATCGGTCCAATAACCGATTTCAAAAATTATTTCACCATTAGAAATTTGTATCTTTGCTGAACATCGTAGGAGATGATTATAACATTTTGAAAATAAAGAATTGCCAATTTACTCATCTACTCAGCCGAAGTCGCGGGCAAAACGGGCTAGTAACTATACAATAATTATATAATCTTAATTTCCATATACACACACAATTGTCCTATATAAACTAATTCATAAAAAAAATAGGTACACTTAGTAGGTTCTAAGTAGTTGAATGTTGTTGGTTGAGTGAATTTTAGTGAGTACCTCAAGACCAAGCCTTTCACGAAATAATCCGAGGTCAACTGTATCTCTTAGAATTATGTTTTTTGCAAAGTAATGATCAAAATCTTAATACATAATAAAGTTAAGTTCATCATGTGATTAACGAAAGGTTCGACTGATTTATGAAAGGATTGTAATTTGTAATACGGTTTGTGACGCAATTTGTGGTTTCTGGCCATAAGTGGAGATGTAGTAACATATTCATAGGAACAACTAGTCTTCGATAAATATTATGACATCAATGTCATGTAACAGTGACTGTTTTTTTTTTCAATAATAGTAATAGTCTTCGTCAACTCCACATGATAACTTTGCAACCACAAAATTTTGAGCATTCATAGCAGCCCATACCCAGTTTCAGCGTAATTGACGGACAAACATTTGGATGTTTGTCCTCAAAATTTAAAGATTGCGAATTGATAGGGTTTTTGGAGATTTTAGACCATGATGTGATTTTAGAGCTTTTTTTTATGGCATAAGCCGGTAAACGAGCAGACGGATCACCTGATGGTAAGCAACATCGCCGACCATGGACACCTGGAACACCAGAGGCGTTACAAGGGGATTCAGGGATTGGGAAGATTGGGGAAGGGGAAGGTAATGGGCCTCCGCTAACCTCACTCACACGACGAAACACAACGCAAACGTTGCTTCACGTCGCTTTTCTGTGAGGCCGTGGTATCACTCCGGTCGAGCCGGCCCATTCGTGCGAAGCATGGCTCTCTCACGCATTTGCAGCAGTTCACCATAACTGAGCATTCAAAGACTAAAGAAGAAAAATGAATATTCTATTTGCAAGTCTCACAAAAGTAAGACTTTGTTCAAAATCGTTTTTCAGTGTCTCGTGGCAATATTATCATGCCATGGTTGGGAGATAACCACTGTCGAAGGTATTGGAAATAGGATCAAGGGTTACCATGATATACAAAGCAGACTGGCCAACTTCAATGGCACCCAGTGTGGCTACTGTTCTCCTGGATGGGTCATGAATATGTACAGGTAAGGGATATTTTCAAAATACAGATTAATTGTTCTACTAAGGGTCGAGTCGAGTTAATTTGACTGCACGGTTGGTGCGGTGGCTGGGCAACCGGCTGCCGTGCAACGTGTCGCGGGTTCGATTCCCGCACGGGACAACACTTTGTGTGATCCACAAACTGTTGTTTCGGGTCTGGGTGTATGTGAACTTGTATGTTTGTAAACGCACCCACGACACAGGAGAAAATCCTAGTGTGGGGCAAAGTTTAAAAAAAAAATTTACCTGTAGAATAAAATTGACTTTAACAGTTTTTAGTATGGAAGAATTGTCAAATATTCAAAGTTTATTGTATAATATTCTAATCCACAAATCAATACAAGCATATTTAAAAGTAACTCTTCTAGTGATCGAATCGATCTTAGACACAAAAATCTCGACTGTATTACACCGTCACCAAAATAAATTTCAAGGTCACGATTATCGAAGTGATGAAACTGCAAAATAATCTAAATCATCACACCCAATTACAAATGCTTGCAAAATTAAACTGAATCCTCGATACTGACTGCCTTCTTGACCGAGTGTTCGGGTTCGATTCCCGGGTCAGGCACAAAGTATTACTAGGTTTTTTTAAAGTCTCAGTACTAGCACCGAGTCTGGAACAATTGTGTCTGGTAAATGTCTCACCCCCTATTACATGGGACTCATAACATAAATAGTGAAAAGTGGATGTTACATTGTACCACATTGTACAATAGCATAAAATGCCGTAATGTGCACCTTTGCCTAATACAACAAGGATAAAAAGGCGTGATGTTATGCACTTTATGTTAAACCGAATGTATCAAAATAACTTTTTACTCTAACAAAACTATAATTTAATAGTTAAGATGAATCTTTACTCATAAACAAACAAACATACATACAACTAATTGACAACAGTGTGTACTACTTCCTTTCCTTGTATTGCGCAATATAATTATTTATATTTTTTGTATCCATTATCATCATGAAGCTATTTGAAACTACTTAAAAGAATTCTGCTTACTAGAGGTACATGGTAGAATAACAGGAAAAATTCACATGACCTTGACACTTGAAATTTGACTCGTTGGCCGAATGGTCGCAAGTGCGACCAAGGTAAGCGGTAAGGGGTCTCGGGTTCGATTCCCGGATCGGGCAACGTATTACTGGGTTTTTAAAAAATTCTCAGCACGGAGTCTGGAATTGTGTCCGATATATGGCAATAGGCATGGAATCTGGAATTGTGCCCGATATATAGCAATAGGCTCACCCCCTATTACCTGGGACTCATAACATAAATAGTGAAAAGTGGGTGTTACATTGTACAGTGGCATAATGTGCACCTCTGCCTACCCCTTCGGGGATAAAAGGCATCATGTAATGTTATGTTATGAAACTTGCTCGTTTCTCTTATATTTTCCTTAAGCGTTGAAGGAATACTAATATTTTACGACATCGTAAAAAGTCGATTCAAACTAGCTCACATATTGGTATTCTTCGCATGAAATTGTGATCTATTAACGTGAATAAATATTTTCACGGCTGAAATGTCTTAATGCAAGTACACAGGCACATAATATACATTCTGAAATCTTTTGGAATTCATAAGAAAGTAATAAAATTTTTTGGAGTGCCAAGATTGACCCGCTGGTGTTCCTGTCATTATACGTTTCAATTGAGAATGGTCAAGTACTGAACAAAACAAAATTCAGTTGACTATAATATATAAACGCCACTTACCGTTCCAAATCCAATTAGCAAATGAATACATTTTTAAATTAGTTGTAACATGAGCTTGAGAAGAAAAAGTCAATAAAGAAAGAATAAATAAGTTAATAAGAGAAATTCGAATTCGCATACACCATAATGTACAATGTTATATCAAACCAGTTTCATTACCATTTAAAATCGTTTACTGTTACAAATACCTGAATCCTAATCGGTAAATAAAATTCAAATTCCAGTTTATACGAATCGAAGAACAAAGTACTAACTGCAGTGGAAATTGAGAACTCCTTCGCCGGTAACATGTGCAGATGTACAGGATACAGGCCCATAGCAGATGCTTTCAAATCATTCGCCACAGACGCTGACCTATCACTTCTAAACAAACTCTGTGATCTTGAAGAACTGGATATTGTCAAACGATGTGGTCTAGAATGTGCTAAAAAATGTAGTCACAGAGACAAGTGTTTTAAACCCAGAGGAAGTGGTAATAATAGCAATGAACCTGATGAACTGGATGATCAAGATAAAGAATTCGTTCACGTAGACGACGATAAAATGATGGTCGTTGATACAGTCAAACATAGATGGTACAAAGCTTTCCATTTGGCTGATGTTTTTGAAATCATAAAATATGGATACTATATCTATGTTGCTGGGAACACTGGTCAAGGTAAGGTATATTTGAAAGACTGTGTTGTATTTTGTTTATCGAAAGACGTAGACATAGGTCACAGTATCATATTGTCTACCTCATCATCATCATCATCATCATCATCATCATCATCATTAACAGCCTATAACTACCCGCTGCTGACCAAAAGCCTCTTCTCGCACTGAGAAGGTTTGAACATTAATCACTATGCTTTCTCAGATTGCCCAGGTTTCCTCACGATGTTTTCCTTTACCGTTTGTCAGTGATGTCTACATAATCTTAGAAAGTACACATAACTCTAAAAAGTCACATTGGTTCTTGCCGTTGGTAGGTTTCGGACCCGCACTCTCATGCATGAGAAGCGGGCGCCTTAAACCTCTAGGTTACCATGACATTGTCTACCTACCAATCCATAAAAACACATCTCTGTATTTCACCGACCTCCCGAACGGCGTTAGCACTATATGCTACGCCGACGATACGCTGGTGCTGGCGCACGGGAGGTCACACCAGGCGGCGGCCGACTTAATGGCGACAGCGGTTGCGACAGTCGTTGAGAGAATCCGGCAGTTGGGACTCGAGGTGGCGCTCCACAAGTCCGAGGCCATGTGTTTTCATGGCCGCGGGAACGCGCCACCTCCGGGTGGGTCCCAAATAACGGCGGGAGGAGTTACCATCGGCGTCGAGACGACGATGAAGTACCTAGGACTCGTCCTCGACAGTCGGTGGAACTTCATAGAACACTTCCGACGTTTGGCTCCAAAGTTGGAGAGGACGGGGGCTGCGTTTAAACGCATCCTCCCCAACCTCGGGGGGCCAAACGCCTCCTGCCGGAGGTTGTACGCCGGGGTCGTGCGGTCCATGGCCCTCTACGGCGCCCCTGTTTGGGCGCCTAACCTGTTGCGGCGTCCCGCTCGGACGCTGCTCATGGCACAGAGGGTCATGGCGATCCGAATGATCCGCGGATACCGCACGATCTCTGGGGAGTCGGCGAACCTCCTTGCCGGATTACCGCCGTGGGATCTGGAGGCGAAGGTGCTCGCGCGCGTGCACAGCATGCGCGCGGAGGCACGTCGCCGGGGCGAAACTCCGCTGCCGCGCCAGATAAGTGCGTGGCGGGATGAGCTCCGGCGCGATCTCATGGCGGAATGGCAGCAACGACTGTCGCAACCGAGGGCTGGGCTCGCTGCCATTGCAGCGGTAAGTCCCCTCTTTGAGGAGTGGCTTGAGAGACGCTACGGCGTCCTCACCTACCGCCTGACGCAGGTCCTCACCGGACATGGCAGTTTCGGGAGGTACCTGTGTCTGATGGGGCGGGAGGAAACGCCCGGGTGTCATCACTGCGAGGACCGCCCTGAGGACACGGTGGAACACACGGTGGGAGAATGCCCTTCGTGGGCTGAGCACCGCCGTGTCCTCAGGGAAGTGATCGGCGATGGCGACCTCTCGCGTCCGGGCCTAGTGCAGGCCATGATGCGGAGCGAGGGGGATTGGGATGCCGTCTCCTCCTTTTGCGAAGCAGTCATGCTAGCTAAGGAGGAGGCGGGACGCGTGAGGCAGCGAAGCGCTGCCTCCTCGCAACCCAGCCATCGCGAGGGACACACCGGGCGTCGGGGATCGCGGGACGATCTCCGGCCACCGTGAGCGCGGGCCTGCGGACGGCGAGCATGGGTGGCTCCCTGTCCGACCAGAAACAGACCCGAGCGTACGGCGCGTCGCGTTCCGCGCGCGCCTCAAAGAGCCATCAGACCACCACAGATGGGGTCCAATAGGGCCGATGCCGATTCGGAGTCGCGGAGAACCTAACGGGTAACCGGGGCTCCGGCTCGACGTGCAGGAGAAGGAACGGGGTGGTTTTTAGTCAGTAAGAGTCTGACACTCCCTCCCGCCTCACCCAGGCGGGGGCAGTCATTCGACGATTTTCCCCCTTAAAAAAAAAAAAAAAAAAAATCTCTGTATTTACTTTTACGTGAATAAAAGAATAATAAGTATGAACATGGTGCACCAAATACAATACCAAATACAAATCAAATCTAAACGCATAATTAGTTTTGACTGATCCGGGAATTCGATACGAGACCTATACATGTCCTAACTGCAACATAATTTAAAATTGTATGTCTTTCTTTTCAGGTGTTTACCACGTGACAGAGTATCCAAAGGTTATCATAGATATATTTAGTGTCGTTGAACTCAAAGGGCACGTAATTGATGTAAACCTTATAATTGGAGCTGGTATGACACTCACAGACATGATGGAACTTTTCCTAAGTCTTTCAAAATCTAGGGAAGAATTTTCTTATTTGAAACAATTTTATGATCATATGGATTTAGTTGCTCATGTGCCTGTGAGGAATGTAAGTAGAAGATAATTTATATACATACCTACAAAAGATTTATTTGTTTATAAAGTCTAAAGTGCTGTACTGATTTTAAAATGATCTGTCTAAATGGGAAACTTTAAAGAACATTCTTTAGTACAACATACAACAATACTTGCAAAGATAAAGAAAGATAATAATGTAAAAACAGAAAAGGTTTATTTTAACCAAATCGAAGTTGCATATTGAATTGGCTATATTTCTTCTAAGGCATCTAAGGCTTCTAGTCATAAATGAGTAACATAAAATTGCAGACACAATTTTGATATCTTTTTTCTTTTAGATCGGAACAATTGGTGGCAACCTAGCAATGAAGCATTCTAACAACGAATTCCAATCGGATCTGTTCCTTCTATTTGAGACTGTTGAAGCTATGGTCACTGTTGGTAAGAACAAATGTATAGTACATCACGAAATTTAAACTGTCAAACACCAAGCGGTCACCGGTGACCGCGACCTATTGTTCTTTAATTGTGTCTATAAAACCGGTACTCGACGAGTTAAACCACCACAAAGAGTATTAATCGCTACAACATAGGTACCAACTCTTGCTTTTTAATTAACTAGCCCAATTGAATTAGGAAATGAACTTGGTCATACAGCTACAAATCCAAACATTACAACTAAAAGTATAAGATTTAAAATTAAACAATAATACTTTATCCAACTTGAAAAGACTTAACCCGACATATTCGATATCGATCTCGCCTGGTGGTAAGCGATGATGCAGTCTACGATAGAAGCACATCCCTATAAGCAACCTATTACTCGGGCCTTGAAGACATCCAAGTTACCCTTCAGGAAATACAGACTCTGGCACAGAACTTAACTTGTACCTATATCTTAACAAAAAGTTCCGTACAAAAGTTCCCACAAATAACTTCAATAATGGTGTAAATATTTTTACAGCGGAAAGTCTTACAAAAGAAGTGAGCATGAAATTACCAGACTTCCTGAAAATATCTTTGGATTTCAAAATTATTAAGAACATAATGCTGCCACCCCTCTCACAGTGCTGTGCGGTAAAAACATACAAGGTCTGTATTTTCTTTAAGATGACAGCATATCAACGTAATCTAACCTACAATTGAATCTCTTCTTTGTTCCAAAATTATTAAAGTTCAAAATGTGTTGAGAAAAACAAAGAAATTGCTTATATTTTGTATACTGTTATGTGTTTTGTGAACTTTGTATATCGCAGGAGTTTTGTAACTTCCAGTCCAATATTTGTTCGAAAAATTCCAAGATTATTCAAAGGATTTAAGATACAGAGGGCCAAGCACGAATAACTATCGCATTCGTATCGTAACAGTATCGAGCGAGTTAAGCGTTCTAATTGGTTGGTTCACTTGAGCCGGCCAATCAGAGCGCCGAACGCGCTCGATACTATTACGTTACGAATGCGATAGTTATTCGTGCTAGGCACTCAGGTATCTTGAAATTGAAATAAGAAAATTAGATTATTTTTTAAACAAAATAAAATAAATATGTCTAATTATTTTACAGATCATGCCTCGCTCCCAAAACGCACATGCCGTTGTCAACGCAGGATTCATGTTCAGATTCAAACAAAATTCGAACATAATTGAAAAGGTTTCCATAGTGTATGGCAGTATTTCACCAACTTTCATACATGCTACAAAAACTGAAGAAGTATTGGTCGATAAAGATCCTTACACTGATGAAACTCTACAATTAGCTCTAAAAACTCTGCATGATGAGATTAACCCTGTTGAAGCACCTCCTGAACCTTCAGCAGCTTACAGAAAGATGTTGGCTGTGTCTTTGTATTATAAAGTAAGTAACATCGTAACATCTAACAACCGACTTATTGTTTTCAAAGGAGTATGCGAGGAAGTAGTAAAATCATTTATAAAACTAAAAAAAAATATGTTGTCGTCGTTATTTTTAAATTAGAGACAGTTTACCTCTCGAGCGTCCTTATGAAACCCGGTGGATCATAAGAAAAAATGCTCCATACTGCTTTCTCTTTTATAAAATCTATTATTAATGTTTTGTTTTTATTTTGACTGTATTTGCTTTATTTCCATTGTAATGATCCTTGTTTACGTGTGCCAATGGCCAAATAAATGCATTTTATTGCATGCATAAGGATAAGGAAATGCATAAGGAATGCGGACGCTCGACGGGTTAAGTAGATAACCTGTTACTAATCCATTTTACAGTAAAATATAGTACCAGAGTTAACATTAGTTAAAATTCGAATGACGAAACAAGACTTCGAAGTAAATTATGAGGTCTAAAAGTAATTAATTTGCATTCTCACCCAAGAAAAAACAAATAGTCATTTATTAATTGTATTAACTTACCTATTTCATATTCCAGGCAATACTCAGTCTTTGTCCCAGCAACAAGATGAATGCCAATTACAAATCAGGAGGAGAAGCAATAAAACGGGGCAAATCAAAAGGAACACAGTACTATGAAACTGACAAAAGTGTTTGGCCACTGAATCAACCTATACCAAAAATAGAAGCATTAGTTCAGTGCAGCGGCGAGGCAGTATTTGCTAACGATTTACCAAGTGAATATGATGAAGTGTATGCTGCTTTTGTTACTGCTGATGCCGTTCCTGGCAGTATCATCAAAGATTTCGATACATCGGAAGCTTTTGTAAGTATAAATTAACTCGTCGAGTACCGGTTTTATAGACACAATTAAAGAACAATAGGTCGCGGTCACCGGTGACCGCTCGGTGTTTGACAGATTAAACCTAAAAATAAAAAAAAAATGTGTGATAGTACTTAATACACTTAATGTATTTTCAGAAATTGGAAGGTGTGATTGCCTTGTACACAGCAAAAGATATTCCAGGAGATAACACCTTTACTCCCAGCAATATACCTTTCATAGCAGTTCAGGAAGAAATTCTATGTTCCAAAGAGGTAAAATTCTATGGACAACCAGCAGCTATCATAGTAGCTAATAGAGAGAAAACAGCAAACCAAGCAGCTAAACTTGTCAAAATTGAGTACTCAACTGTAAGCAAGAACAGACCTCTTCTAACAATGGATGAAGTTATAAAATCTCCGGAAAGGAGCAAAAGAGTTAGATCAGATCAAAATATAGAACCTTCTGATATTGGCAAAGATGTTAAAACTGTTATCAATGGTGAATTAGATATGGGTGAACAATACCATTATTACATGGAAACACAGACTTGTGTAACCAGGCCTACTGAGGGAGGGATGGAAGTGTTTGCGGCAACGCAGTGGTTAGATTTGACTAACGTTGCTGTAGCTCAGGCTCTGAAAGTGCCTGCTAATAGGTAAGTGAAGAAATCTGAAACAGAACCAGAACTTAGCAAGCGATGTGTTTATTTCATGGTATAAGCACTGGCATGCATTGTGTGCACTGGAACACGTTGCATATTACACGGCATTTTTCATTGGTTATGTTACTGTTCCCATAATTCTAAGAAGCCCACGATGTTGCACTTTAGTAAAAAACCCAATAAACTTTTCCTGACCTAGGGAAATAATAAAAATTGTTCTATTGACGTCAGTTACAGTTTACATTTTTTATTGAGAATACTTCATTCATAAATCACATTATTTCAATTTTATTGCAGTATAAACGTCATAGTTCGCCGAGTGGGAGGTGGTTACGGCGGAAAAATATCTCGGTCCACCCAGGTGGCATGCTCAGCGGCCCTTGTCACACATTTAACGAATAAAACCTGCAGAATGATTCTGCCATTACAGACAAACATGGGATCTATCGGCAAACGAATTGGTACTAAATGTAATTTTGAGGTAAGGCCTAAAATTGTTGTAGGTATTAATTATATCATCATCATCATCATCATCTGCATAGCGTGACATAGGCAAACATTTGAGCTCCATTTTTAGTTCTCCAGATTCATCGACATAGTGATATATGTTTTTTTTTAATTACATATAAAGAAATCTGTGGGAGGCTTTTGTTTAGCCCCACATCTGGACGTCTTGTGGCCGACATGATGATGATGGCATATAAAGTTAAAAATATATATGACTTATATATGCTTAGGTGTTCACCACACAACAGTTATTCGTAACTTTTTGTTAAGTATGTTTAAGACTCATAGTAACAGAGGGCGAGCCTGTCAAAATGAAAAACTGTTTACTGATCGATGATGGTAAAAATAAATGGCATAAACAAAATTCACAGATTGGCGTCAACGCTGAAGGAGAAATTCAGTATCTGAAGAACACTTTCTACCAAGATGGAGGAAGTTCTTACAACGAGGTGATAACACCTATTACCATTCATCATTTCTACAATTGCTACGATCCTAAGAGATGGGGTATTTCTTCCTTTAGTGTGTTGACAGACAAACCTTCCAACACTTGGTGTAGAGCCCCATGTAAGTATTTTAGAAAACTATTATATATCACCTTCGCTTTCTATCTTAAAATTTTATATTATTGGAAATCAATGGTTGAGATTGAGGAGGCATTTAAATGTTATAATTTCCATAAAATGAAAAAACTAACGAAAGATGTTTCAATAATAATAAAATAGAACATTTTAACGATTGGATTTCAAACTACACGTTTGCTGATTTTCATAAATTATTATTTTGAATCTAGGTAATTTTCATGAGATTATATATTGAAATTATATATTCTTGTTTTATGATACTTTCAAATGAGTAAAAATATTGTCATCTTTAGTTTCAGCTGAAGGCGTTGCGATGATAGAATACATGATGGAAAGAATAGCATTTAGTCTAAAACTCGATCCCATAGAAGTGAGACTTCTAAACATGAAGAAAGAAAACAATCCCATCCCAGAAATGATAAACCAATTGAAAATAGACTCTGAATTCGACGACAGAAAGAAAAAAGTCGAAGAATTTAATAAGAGCAATCGATGGAGGAAACGTGGTATTAAAATGGTACCGTTGACAGTTGGTATAATTTACACAGGATTATTTAATGCTATTGTGTCAGTCTACCATGCTGATGGATCTGTGGTGATAATCCACGGAGGAATAGAAATGGGGCAAGGACTAAACACTAAAGCAGCTCAAGTTTGTGCTTACGCTCTTGGTATACCGTTGGACAAAATTAGCGTTAAGCCTAGCAATAGTTTTACTTCTCCAAATGCTATGGTTACTGGAGGCAGTGTCGGTAGTGAATGTGTGGTCTTCGCTACTAAGAAAGCGTGTGATATAATAAATGAAAGACTTAAACCTATAAGAGAAAAGCTCGAAAATCCCAGCTGGGAAGTACTAGTAGAAGCTGCATTCGAGGCCGGGGTTGATCTCCAAGCTACTGGTGCATTTAATCTTACCGAGGGTGATGGGAAACCTTATGATGTATACGCTGTTGGCATTCTGGAAGTTGAAGTGGATATCTTGACTGGCAACCATGATATTATACGTGTTGATATTGTGGAGGACACTGGAAGGAGTTTGAGTCCTGAAATTGATGTCGCTCAGGTAAAATTGCGTTTTAGTAGTATTACAAAGGTAGAAGCAACGTTTCGTTGATTAAATTAATGATTTTATTTTGATGAAACTTCACTCAACAAAACATGGTAAAATATTGGTTTCCTCAGACTACAAAAAAGTAAATGAAATTAAAAGAAAACTGTGACACTAAACCCATTCAATAACTATCTATAACTTTTAATAATTCTTCTACAGATATATTATACGCTACTTTTTTATAATAATTGGAGATATCAAACTAGTTATACATATAACGTCAGATAGTTTTTTAATCAGATTTACATAATTTACTTCACAGATCGAAGGAGCTTTCGTGATGGCTCTAGGATACTGGACATCAGAGAAGCTGGTCTATGACGAAGCCACTGGCAAGTTACTCACAGACAGAACCTGGACCTACAAGATACCTGGCATAAAGGACATACCAGCAGATATGAGGATCTACTTCCGCCGTAACTCCAATAATGAGTTCGGTGTGCTGCAGTCTAAAGGTAAATTATTATGATTTGATTTTTTATTTATTATTTTGAGTTAGATTTATATACTAATCTCGTTGCCATACAATCCAACGTAATTTTTTGAATAAGTTTATTACGGTCACAATTCAATTCTCCACCATATTTTTAAATTAGTTCAAGTAAAATTAGTTCATATCTTGAATACTAGATGGCGTTGTTAGTTAATGTCCAATTTGTGAATCGCGGTGTCAACATTTTCCGGCGATTAATGACACTCAGTTGATGTTTTATGCTGGTTAGTTTAATAATTTATAAGAACAATATTAAAAATAATTATTATTTCATACAACATACGAAGTGATATACAGTTCAGTGGTTTTTGTGTAGTATCCCTGAAGGTTATACGGGTTTTCGAAGGTTTTTGTGGTTTTGTCGCCAAAATAAATAATTCAATACAGTACGTAGGTACTTTAAACACACAATAAAATCTAAACAACATTTTAATTTATAATAACGCGAATATTTTCTTGGATTTTGTTTACAAAACAAAATCCAAGAAAATATATATAAATATATACATATTATTTTTATTTACTTTACAGCAACCGGCGAGCCAGCATTCTGTCTAGGAGTCGTGTTCCTCCTTGCTATTCAGGAGGCACTTCAATCAGCTCATCAGGATGCCGGCCATGAACCAGGGTGGATAGATATAGGTACGTACCTAATCATATTGTTACATTGATTGCAACCAATCAAATATTCCCACTGAGACGTGGACTAGATCAACCTTATTACTGTAGAATAAAGTTGGTTTTAGATTAAAATTATATTATAATATTTGTATCTTTGTCCATAAAAAATAGAATAAGCCTATTATATATTACTAGCTTTTACCCGCGGCTTCGCTTGCGTCAAAAAGGATAAAAAGTAGCCTATGTGACATATACCTATACACACAGCGCCATCTATACCAATAATTGCGTTTTTCCTCGAAAATATCAAATTTTTCCAAGATAAAAAGTACCCTATTATTTAATCCGGACTTCTAACTTTACGTCTGCAAAAATTCAAAGCAATCGGTTTAGTAGTTACGGCGTGAACGTGGAACAAACAAACAAACAAACAAACTCACTTTCCGATTTATAATATTAGTAAGGATAATGGGAGATTTAGGAAGGGGGGGGGGAGTAATTAGACTCCAGTAACCTGACTCACACGATGAAGACGAAACACAACGCAAGCGTTGCTTCACGTCGCTATTCTGTGAGGCCGTGATATCACTCCGGTCGAGCCGGCCCATTCGTGCCGAAGCATGGCGCTCCCACGCTTAAAGTTTCACTGTTTCAGTAAAAACATAATAATTTTAGACCTCACTACACAATAGTCAACAAAACATAATTATTAACTTAACAACAAATCTTTACATAATTATACCAACATTAAACTGTCAAACACCAAGCGGTCACCGGTGACCGCGACCTATTGTTCTTTAATTGTGTCTATAAAACCGGTACTCGACGAGTTAATCAAACCAGACTGCCTCGTTGGCCGAGTGTTTGCAAGTGCAATTGCCGGGCAAGGGCCTCCGATTCGATTCCCGGGTCGGAAAAAGTATTACTGGGTTTTATATAAGTTCATTCTTAGTAGTATCACGAAGTCTGGAATCGTGCCCGGTACATGGCAATAGGCTCACCCCCTATTACATGGGACTCATAACATAAACAGTGAAAAGTGGGTGTTACATTGTACAGTGGTATTAAGTGTTATAATGTGCACATCTTTCTACCCATTCGAGGGTAAAATGCGTGATGCTATTTAAATATTAATCAAAACAAAAAAAGAATGTGATAATGCCACTGTGTTAACCTTTGGCAGAATTGTGAAAAAAAAAAACATGTATCAACATTATAATGTTTGTAAAAGACAACAGTAGCCTGCAGGTCTATACGAAATACATAAAAGAAAACATTATTCAGGTGAAAAAATATCTGTTCAGTATATGTTACACACAGGTACACTGGTACACATAACTGTAATTGAAAATTCTGTCGGAAAAATATAAAATTCTGAAAGTGTTTCTCGAATGTTTGTACATTTATTTTTTGTCGACAACTCTGGTATTATCATAAATGTTAACACTATTGTTTTCGCGAATCTCATCTCTTCAAGGCCGTGATATTTTGTAGTCTCAGACTTTTCATAAAAAACAAGACAATGATAATCTCTTTTGTAATACTGAATTTAGGGTATCTATCAACATTAACATTTAAACAAAACATTTTATTAACGCAAAAATATTAATAATAATAATAACAGAAGGACTCTTCTTTATGAGCCTACCTACACTGTCATGGGCCAGGACATATTCTTGTACAGTACTTAATATTATCCAAAACTTTTTATAATAACAATATCGTGAGACATACTAAATTAACTAAACATTGCGAGTTACTCACGTGAATATACTGAGCAAAGCTTTACTAGTTTCGAACCACAGAGGGGTTTTTCGCGGTCGCTGTGCCAGTAGGCTGCGCGACATCGCCGCGACCGCGCACGCTTTTCATGAGGAAGAGCTCCTCTGTGGTTCGAAACAAGTGGAGCTTTTCTCAGTATATTCACGTCAGAAACCCGCGATTTTTAGTTAATTATCCAAAGTTGTTTATAACAGATTTACAAGGAAGTTATTGCTATGAAGTCGAAAACTTTAGAAGAAATTTCATCATATAGTATGCATCATACAGATGCTGTCTAAGATTGGTATCTTAGACAGCATCTGTACAAGTTATACCTAACTAGTCACAGCTAATGTTTTTCTCATCTAAATCTAATTAATCAGAGGTATGTAGGAATCGTAGCAATTGGCGTTTCATAGTCTCTGCCTACCCCCATGGGGGTTGGGCATGAAGTTAAGTATATATGTATCAGACCCATTTTTAATTAGCTCTTAATTAATCGACTGTTTAATTAAATAATTCTATCCTCGTAGCCTCTACCGACCAAAGGCTTCTTCTCACACTGAGAAGATTCGAGCATTCGATTCAAGCAATCTCCTCGCTAACTTTATGCGGGTTCGCTATTTCAAACTTATAATTAGAAATTATATAATCGAGGTTTCCACACGATGTTTTCCTTCACCGTTTGTCAGTGGTGTAAAATAATCTTAGGAAGTACATATAACTCGGAAAAAGTCACATGGTACCCGCGCATATGTGAGGACATATGAGAAGCGGGCGTCATTGACCTTCGAGTTACCACGACGTTCTATCTCATTCAATCTCTTAATTAATTTTTATTTTTTCAGGCACTCCATACAACGTGGAAAATATTTTCATGGCGGTCAACCATAAGATAGAAGATTTCAAACTAACTTGAAACCTGCACTTCCAAACTAAATGGAAATTATAGCTTCTTATCTTACCTGTATTGTGTTATTATTTTGAATATATTTTATTATACTTGGCATGGTTTTTATTATTACTGGGTTTATTTTTAATTATTAGTAGTTGCACGGACTCTGGAAATGTGCCCAGTATATGGCAATAGGCTCACCCCCTATTACATGGGACTCATAACATAAATAGTGAAAAATGGGTGTTGCATTGTACAGTAACATGATAGACGCCAGGCGAGAAACGGTCGTCGAAACCAGCATGGTAGATTTTTATTATGATTACATTGTACAGTGGCATTAAGTGCCGTAATGCGAACGTCTGCCTACCCCTTCGGGAATAAAAGGAGGTTATGTCGTAATTTATATTCTCCTGCAAAATGAGTCAGTATTCGCAAAAGAAGATGTTAAAATATTTTCAAGTATTGTCTTGTATGTTCGGGTAAATTACGTTAACTGTCTACGATTTCAGACTTAATAGAAATGAATAACGCTTTTTTTAAGGGGGGAAAATCATTAAATCATCGAAAGACTGCTCCGTGGGTGAGGCGTGAGGGAGTGTCAGACTCTTACTGACTAAAAACCACCGCGTTCCTACTCCTGCACTTCGAGCCGGAGCCCCGGCAACCCGTTAAGTCCTCCGCGGCGCCGTATCGGCATCAGCCCTATTGGGCCCCATCCGTGGTGGTCTGATGGCTCTTATAGGTATATGTATATATAGATTGTTTTTCCATGCAAAAAAAATAAGTTCTGGTCGTTCTTGATGAACAAAGGTTATATCAGCAAAGAACTAATACATTATTAATCGAAAATCTTAATAAAACAATGGCTTTGATTCAACAAGCTGTTGAGAGAACTTAGACAGTTTTAAAACTATTATTGCGTATCAGGTCAGCCAACAACAAAACATTGAACTTAAAATACCAAACTAATCAAAACCCACGCAAACATATCATGCGTTTAACAATAACATAAAGTTTGTTTAATGTTTAAACTTATACAAAGTTCAAGAGTACCAAGTCAGCCAAAAACAGACGAAACTTCATGAGAGGTTTATGTGGAATTTTGAGTTACAGTTCTATCCTACGCCTTGGGCGATAGCGATTTTACAACTTGTATCATTCTAAAAATACCCCGGACATACGAGGACAACGATAAACTTAAACCTGACCTATTTATGTTCGTAATATATATGAATATGTCGCGGAGAACCTAACGGGTCACCGGGGCTCCGGCTCGACGTGCAGGAGAAGGAACGGGGTGGTTTTTAGTCAGTAAGAGTCTGACACTCCCTCCCGCCTCACCCGGGCAGGAGCAGTCATTCGATGATTTCCCCCCTTAAAAAATAAAAATTATGTATGAATATCCGTATTTAGTACGACTCTGATGTATTTTATAAAACATTTTACCCGCGGTTTTGCCCGCGTATTTCTGTTTTATCCCATGGGAGCATTTAATCGGGATAAAAAGTGTTATATCACCTAAGTCAACCAATACCCTGCTTGTATATAAAATTTTATCAAATCCGTTAATTGGTATCAGCGTGATTGACGGATAAACATCCAAGCAAAGAAACTTACGCATTTATAATTTTAGTGAAAAATCATTAAATGATTCTACCCGCCCTAGGGGAGAGGGTATCAGTCACTATTTAAAAACTCTCACGATGCAACTCCTGCTCTGTGTCGTGGTTTCGGAACTTATTGGTAATCTACCCTCGAGCCAGCAGGGTAACGACCTTAGTAGGCCGTGTATAATGTAGTCTGATGGGTTTTTGAAGTGGGACCGGAACTCGGCGTACACTACGCTCGGGTCTGGTTCAGAGGAACAAGATCAAAATGGGACCACATTCGACGCTCTAATTGATCTGCTTTAATAAACTAATCAATCAGAGTGCCGCATCGGTCTCGATTCGATTACTTTAGACGTAAAATAAACTCGTAATAAGGTCTCTAATCGAGCGGCGAGCTACCTTTGCTCACTATCCGCAGACCTACAGACTTTGAATTTATTTTATTATTTTTTTATATATATTAAATAGGACTGACGTTTGACCACTATCTGGCCTGGTGGTAAGCGATGATGTGGCCTACTATGGAGCACGTCTTCGCACGGTTCGTGCGTGTACCCACACGCACGGACCTCTACCATGAATCGATGACGCTTCTCCGATTGTCTTGTGGTGGACTAGGAGGAATCAAGTTGTGCAATTCCCCCGCACACTCACCGAAATGTATCCGGTAGAAGACTGAAAGGCTTGCAACCTTACGCCTGTGTTCGGCTTTAACAATTAATTCAACTTAATATAATAAGTGTGTACAGGTGGACTTCACGCCTTGGGTCGCCGTCTCCGAGTCAATTTTTAAGTAGTGCAGAGATGAAAGTAGCAGGTGATTAAGTAATTTTTCGGTTATGAAAGAGAAGAGTCATCACCTGAAATAAAATTTCTAATCATAGCTGTACACTACTTACTCATTTCTTTACAAAGTTTTTACAAATATCTTTTAAAAAGATACCAAATATTTATTTCACCTTTTCTCACATTTCCTAAGCAAATATGCAAGCCCACTTACTTACATATTCAGTAAATAACGTTTTTCTTAACGTCATATTTATTTTGAAACAATTACCTTATTACATTGTAGTTTTAGGGATTTCGTGCGCCTCGCCGTTTGGGCTTTACGTGGGAGGTCTCTTTGTATCGTAGTGGGCAGTACAATGTTATAATAATATTTCGTACCTTAAAAATATACTGGCTTGTATTAGCAGATTCTACGAAAATAGCCTGATAGACAACTTAGGGAAGAAGTTTTTGGAGTAAAAGATTTTCACGGTTTATTTTGATAAAATGAAGTTGGTTCAAATTTCTTCATCAAAGTTCGTTTGGTATGAAAAATAGGGGAACAACCTGAAAAGTTTTTAATTGTGTTTCGTTTTCTGGCTGGTGTAAGTAGCAACCATACGACATGTTGATGTCAAAATTCAGAAAGATCAAATAAATATTTTTTGTTAAAAGTGCAACTGACCAGTGGTCGAGTTCGCTCATTTTAAAATTGAGTATGTTGAATATTTGTTTTAGTTTTCGATTTAGACAATATTTTTTGCCTTATACACTCTTCATTGAAGCGTATTGTTCGGTCAAAAAATGTAATAAAATTTAGTGACTGAAATATTTTCTCTTCCTCCACTTTCCACTTTTTTAGTCCAATCAGTCTTACTGTGGATTGCTCTGTCCACGGACGGCCTCCAGTCGGCTATCCTTTAAATTTAAACTTACCCAGGTATACCTACTTTTGCCTAGGAACTATTTGAAATCTTAATAAACTATTTGAATAACATTGTATACGGTCCATAAAAAGTATCGCGAAAACGACTCGTAAATCATAAGTAAAACAGTCTATGGGTGTAAATTAAGATGTAGATCTTTCATTCATATAGATCATTTTTCAAATAGCATATTTAAGGAACATCTCGAAGAAATACTTTACAACTTTGCTCAAGCAATCTGCATCTGAAATGCAGTCACGTAATGACTTCTTTCTGTGAAATAGTAAAAAAGCTTTTAAAACGTCTACAGCACAAGTTGAGTTTCATCAAAAATAATTAAAAAGACATTATTTTTTATTTATTTATTTATTTATTTAATCTTTAATGTACACAATTTTAATATGGCACATAAGGCGGACTTAATGCCATATGGCATTCTCTACCAGTCAACCTTAGGGTTTAAATAGAAAATCTGCGAAAAATAAGGTACGGAGAATAAACTAACAGCAAAGAGAGAGAGAGGAAAAAATAAATAATAATATAGCTATACATATATATTTCATAATAGTAAATAGTATATATAGTCATATGCATAAAATATATAGGTATAAATACATAAATTAATATATATCGACGAAGACCTAGACCTAGCGTTGCAGCGATTTTAAATAAAATTCATGAACTTGGTGTTTAAAGGAGATTTTATTAGGAGCTTTTTTGATATTGAGGGGGAGCGCGTTCCAAAGTTTAATGACACTTATTGTAAAGGAATTAGAAATAAAAGAGGTACGGTGGGAAGGTATTTCAAGGAGCAAGTTATCCGTCGAGCGGAGGTTACGGTTGTGGCAACTGCCTAATAGCTGGAAGCAAGATTTTAAGTAATCTGGAGCACAAGGATCATTAAGAATAGAGAAGAGCATGCAGAGGGATCTGAGGGATCTCCTCTCACGGACAGGAAGCCATTTAAGCTGAGCGCGAAAGGAAGAGATATGGTCGTATTTACGAAGACCGAAGATAAAACGGATACAGTTATTGAGCATTCGATCCAATTTGTTAAGAAGGTCTTGGGATAGATCGGAGTAACAAACATCAGCATAATCAACAACAGGAAGCACAAGGGACCGGACAAGCAGAATCTTGATATTTGGTGGCAGAAAGTTCTTGAACCTGTAGAGAGATCGTAGCGTGGCAGTTACTTTCCGGCCAATCTGAGCAACCTGATAATTCCAGTTGAGCCCGCTGTCCAGATACAAGCCTAGATCCTTTACGTGTGGAGACAATGGTATGGTGGTTTGATTAAATGTTATCGGATCAAGCTGATTGACATTTAGGCTATTCAAGTAATAGGAGCTACCTAAGATGAGGGCCTGACATTTGCCTACATTCACTGCAATCCCATACCTCCTTGACCAGTCTTCAATCGCAAGCAAGTCAGTGTTGAGATATGCTATGCAAGTGTTCAAGTTAGCGATATCAGCCTGAGCGTATAGTTGTAGATCATCGGCGTAAAGGTGATAAGAGCATTTGAGGAGACTAGTAATAGAGTTTATAAATAGAGAAAATAACAAAGGAGAGAGTATACCGCCTTGTGGTACACCAGCTGTTAGCCCACCCCAGTCGGAGAATTCCTGACCAACGCGTACCGCCTGCTGGCGACCACGAAGATAAGTAGAGAACCAATCCCGCGATGACGTCGAGAACCCAATCTGAGTTAGCA